AGACACATATGCTTTTTTAAAAGAAATAAAATATCTATAAGAGAAAAATATGAATATATTTCTTCATAACTTTCTCCTTCTTTTAATACGTTTTACATATATTCAGTGTCCTCATATGTGCAGGTCGGAGGTTGTCTGACTTGAAAGCCCTGTGATCATTCACTGGGCCATGCACAGTAGGACAGCACTTCATTGAGTTTAAGTTAGCCAGAAACAGCAGAAGCTAAGTGGCTGAGCTATGTGGAACATATGGGCCTGTCTAGCAGAGACTGACTGAGATAAAACTTTGCATGTAGAAATGAGCTCTGGGGCTGGGGAGGCCAGCTCAGTGGCATGAGCACCAGCGCAGAAATGAGTTCTGTAGACACGTTCGGTGATTTCAAAAAACTAAAGGAAAAAGGAGATACATAATGTTTCCAATTCATTGAGAATATGTCTAAGATGCTTATCAAAAGTGATTATGCTGGGCCGGGGAGATAGCTAAGTAGAGTAAGTTCCTGCCTGACAAGCGCAGGTCCTGAGTTCAATCCCTGGTACCACAAAAATAAGAAAAAAATTTAAAAAGTGATTATATTTTATCAAAATCGCTTTTTAGTTAAGTTACCTGAGTTGAGAATGTTGCCATCAAGTTAGAAAACATTAAAAATATTTTATGTTGGCAAGCAATTGAGTGAGATCAATCACAAACTATTGATACAAATATGAACTTGTGCTTTTCAGAAAAAAACATAGTGGTACATGTCAGAACACTTGGAGTGTCACAGTTGTTCCCACTTCGTCTTGTAGCTTATCCTAATAACTGATCTCATTGGATAATTTCATATATAACTTTTTGAAGTGGTTAGAATTTTCTTCATTTTTAAAGGATACATGATGTTTATTCTTTTTTTTAAAGGTTCTTACGAAAAATTGAAAAAATACAAGGCATTTCTAAAGAAGTACCAAAAACACAAGAAGATAATGGTATGATAGTTATGTTTTTATCCTCCTTCAAAAATTGTACTTTCACAAAATTGTAAATTATCATTCTACAGATAAGCACTGACAGCATTTTCAAAATGTTCCTTTAGTTTCATTATCTAACAGTTGCCTGTCTGTAATTGAACATACCTAGATTCGCCCCTTTTTATACTCAGTACATTAGAATCTGTAACATTACAAGTTTTTTAACTTAAATTTTAATTTTTATTAGTATACACTTACAGTATAATGATTACATTCATTATGGGAAGTTGGCCCACGTACACGATACGTTTTAGTTCTTTTCCCTTCTTCCCTTCCCTCTCTACCCTCGTCTATGCTCTGCAAATTACTGCAATTCAATATATATATATATATGTATATATGTATAAATTTCATGCTTTTATTATTTAACAGTCTGCAATAAACTTAGTAGTATGGCTCCCAGGTCAGCCATCTTCACTTAGAAACAAACAGTTCTCTTTATGACCTTCATCTTACATTGTCAGTTTTTACAAATCTTCTTAAGATTTTCACTCAAATTCTAATAAGCTTTTCATTACTGATCCATACTTAGTTCTTTTCAAAACAACATTCTAAAATTACATAATCTTAAAGCTATAAATACTTAAGTGTCTGTTACCATCAGACCATGTATGACATTTAACATTATTTTTAAATTTCAAAATAAGTTTTGGTCTTTGTGCTTCATTGTAAATTATTCAGGTAGTAATTTTAGGAATCAAAAAATAGAAATTAGCATCATAGTCTCATCACTTATAGATAATCATGTGTAATTCTTTGTTTTCATTTTTATTTTTAGAAAAATTAGATTATATTTTCTAATAAATACATGCATTATAAAATCTCCATGAATAAATATTATTCTATCATTTAAAACGTGTTCCATAAATAAACTATTGTAATAGCCTTTTGTTGCACATTTAGGTTAAGTTTCACCATTCATCATCACTCACAAAGCTATTGTGAAAGTATTTAGAGCTGAAGAGTATGCTCATCCTCAATTATTAAGATAAGGTACCGGAAGTGAGGAGCAGCAATGAAATTCCAAGTGTTCTCACGTGTTTTGCTATATTTTTCTCTGGAAAGCACTAATTCAGATTTTTATCAATAGTTCATGATTGATCTCTCATCCAGCCTCTTCCCAACATTAAATGTTTTTTAATGTTTGCTAACTTGATCACAGCATTCTCAACCCCAGTAACTCAACTAAAAAGTGTTTTTGGCTATGTAGAATTTTGTATTTTTATGAATATCTAATTTTTTCTAAAATTTTCTATCCTCAGCGACAAGGTATTTCCTAAGGGTTTATCATTATGGTCAGAGATACAGTCACATATCTTATTTTGTGTTATTCTTACAATTTTAGAAATATTTCATTCTTTACTTCATCTGATATTTATCATAAGGTAATAAAATTGTAAATATGTTATTTTAAATGCACCAGTTTGTTGTCTCATCTTCATCTCACTGTTTTAGCCTTTTTTATTCCTTTTGAGTAAAAAAGAATTATCTTAGGCTACC